GGAGGGGGAGGAGGAAGAGGAGCTGGAGGAGGAGAAGGAGGAATGCGACGACCACGACGACAACGACAATGGCGCAGAAGAAGAAGAAGAAAAAGAAGAAGAAGAAGAAGAAGAAGAAGAAGAAGAAGAAGAAGAAGAAGAAGAAGAAGAAGAAGAAGAAGAAGAAGAAGAAGAAGAAGAAGAAGAAGAAGAAGAAGAAGAAGAAGAAGAAGAAGAAGAAGAAGAAGAAGAAGAAGAAGAAGAAGAAGAAGAAGAAGTCGTTGAGGAGATTGGACGCAGTGGCGAAGGAGCCGACAAGGGCAACATCGACGATGGCTACTATCACACTATCCTCTCCTTCGTTGACGACGACGATGAAGACAACGATGGCGTAGACAAAGATATTGAAAACTGCTCCACCGTCCATTTCCACGACCACTTCGGAAACATGTATGTAATAATAGGCGGAGAGCTAGATTTGATCTCCAAGCGGCGATTCGCCAGAAAGTTTCAAATTTCTACCACCCTCTATTGCTGTGACGAACTGAAAGCCATCTGCCAAGGAGCGTCTAGCGTGAAGATTACGCCGTTTTCTATTGCCATTTCGGAGAATGCACGTGCAGCGAACAAGAGGGCTGCTCACCGCTACGTCGCGCTATGTACATCTGTCTACATGGACAGTGAGACAGTTCTGAGATTTGCTCTTGGCGATTATGGTGTTTGTAGTAGTAGTAGTAGGAGTAGGAGTAGGAGTAGTAGTAGTAGTAGTGCTGTCTCCATGTCTGCTGGAGAATTTGAGAGGTATCTTAGACTGTCAGGGTTCGAGGTTTGGTACATGCCTTGATCAGAGAAACACGATTGCAGATCTAGAGAGATCTTGAAAGGGGGGGGGGGGGTGTTGGGCAATTTTAAAACTTTATAGATAAGATAAGGTCAGATAAGAATATAAGATGTATCTGATAGAGTTTGTTCTTCGATGCCTATGCGCAGCAGCAGACAGAAAAAGGACACTTCGTCATCATCATCATATTGGTGGAGACTGTAGTAGAATTTCAAAATGTTTAAAATATTGGAAATGTTCAACGTTTCTCTGCTGAGGGTTTCGTCAGGAACATGTAAAAAATAATGATGACGATGATGATGATGATGAGTCGCTTCTGAAGAAGCCCAAGAGGCAAAACGTTGAGCTGTGTCTATTAAACACATTTTAAACATTTTATATTGTTGTGTTATTTTGTCTGAAATTCAAACAAGACTCTCCCTCCTACTCTGCTTTCCAAACAATGATGATGATGATGATGATGATGATGATGATGATGATGATGATGATGATGATGACATCATCATCATCATTTTCATCATCAGTGGGGGTGCCAGTGGGCGAATGGTTAGTGAGTCCAGACTCACAAATAATGTCAAGCAAGTGTCTTTGACACGGGGTATAGTTAGATGGGTGGCACTGGGGTGTGTCCTTGAGAAAGATACGACAACCCTTGCTTAAAAACAACATGCTTTGCTCAATAGAAACCAGCAATGACATGTTTTTTTTTACATTGTCTAAATTGGTTGGTGTAGCATTGCTTTTTTGGTATTCTTTTTATATATATATGTGTATGATAGTGTGTTAAAATTTATGTTTATATAGACCTATGTATGTTTGCCTTCGTAGTTTAAATTTCCCCACAGGGATCAATAAAGTGTAATCTACATACGTAACTGTAATGTGTTTTAATTGTATTTTAATTTCTTGTTCTTGTTCTTGTTCTTGTTCTTGTTCTTGTTCTTGTTCTTGTTCTTGTTCTTGTTCTTCTTCTTGTTCTTGTTCTTGTTCTTCTTCTTCTTCTTCTTCTTCTTCTTCTTCTTCTTCTTCTTCTTCTTCTT